AAGTTCTGTTGCTGCTGTGGTACCTGGCACCATTTTTTCTATTAGCCTCTTAATCATCATCTGGATAGAGAACATTCTAGAGTAATATCATTAAATGTAGCTCTGATAAAGCACAGTCCCTACTATGTATCATAAAACATTTACTAGATATTTTAATTCATAGAGGTAGGATACAGTACTGTCCTACATCAATAATACTGGATTGAGTTTTGGTTTGAAATTTACTTTGTCTGCAAATAAGATTGCTACCCCTGTTTTTTTCTGGGCTCCTGTCACATGGAGAATTGTTTTCTATCTTTTCACTTTCAGTCTATGGGCTTCTTTTTGCACTAGGTGTGTTTCTTGTATACAACATATTATTGGATTTTGCTTCTTATTCCATTTTGCCAGTCTATTTCTCTTGATTGGTGAGTTGAGGCCATTGACATTGCTGGTTATAACTGATATGTACTGACTAATTATTGACATGTCATTGGCCTTTTGTTGACTATTTTTACTTTTTCACCTTCTCCTTTTAATGCCTTGCCTTGGCTATTTGATTTGCTCTGTTGGGCCTCATGGTGTTGTTGCCTTCACTGTCTTTTTCTAGGATCTTGTTTAGAATTGCTTGTAGTGCTGGTTTGGTATTCATGTAGTTTCTCAGATGTTCTTTGTTGTGGAAGTGTCTTATTTCCCCCTCCATTTTGAAAGAGAGTTTTGCTGGATACATCAGTCTAGGTTGGAGGTTGTTCTCTTTTAGTATTTGAAATATCTCATTCCAGGCTCTCCTTGCCCCAAGGGTTTGTGTTGAAAAATCTGCTGTGATTCTGATGGGCTTTCCTTTGTATGTGATTTGTTTCTTTTGTCTTACTGCTTGTAGTATTTTGTTCTTCTGTTGGGTTTCTGGAATCTTGATTATTATATGTCTAGGTGTAGATTTTTTTTTATTGTAGCTAGTTGGGGTCCTATATGCCTCAGTTATCTGAATGTCAAATTCTTCCCCGCTGTTTGGGAAGTTTTCTGTCATTAATTCTGAAAACAGCTTTTTTAAGTCATTTGTATTTTCTCCTGCTACTTCATGTATTCCTATCAGTCTTATGTTCTTCTTCTTTGCATCATCTAGGAGTTGTTGGATTGATTTCTCATGATCTCTTACTGTTTTTAAGAGACCTCTCTTTTCATGGTCATTGACTGCAATCTTATCTTCTATATCTGAGAGCCTATCTTCGCATTCTTTTATTCTGTTTTGTACACTTTCAATAGAGTGTTTAATCTCCTGGATATCTGTTTGAATCTGTTTTATGGATTCCATTTCCTTCCTATGTTGGGCGTTTATTTTTTCCATTTCTTTCTCATGCTGGGCCTTCATGGCTTCTATCATGGTCCTGAGCTCATCTATTCTTTTGTCAGTTTCTGCTCTCGAGTCTCGAATCACGACTTCCATTTTGCTCACTATCTCTATGGTTATCTGGGAAATTATTTCTGTTTTGAATCTTTCTACAGACTGATTGATCTGTTTTGTTACTTCCTGTGCTTTGAGTTCAGGGTGTCCTGGTGGTTCACTATTGGCCTTTTCATCCTCATTTGCCCTACTGTTTGCCATTGGTGAACTGGAAGTCTGTCCTTGTGTCTTGCTTAAGTGCTTTCTCATTTTAATTTTTGTTGTCGGACTGTCCTTGGTTTAATCTCTGGATTATCACCCAAATCTTCCTGATATAGTTGCACCCTAGCTTCTGTGTCTCTAACGACCCACAGACATTCTCATCTTCATAACATCAGAGAAAACAGCTCATCAAATCAATGGCAATGCTTTACCCCAACTGATACAATCAGCAACACATTAAGATCAAGCACAACTTGGACACTGACCACCTGTGGTAGTCACTAGTCTATCCCCCTTAAATCATTTGAATTAAATTGAAATCAAGAAGCAGTCCAGAACATGTCTGCAGTGAACAAACTTTTCAATATAGTATATTTACCATTTAATGGCTCAGACAGAGTGACGATGCAAGACCCCTGATCTCAGGTAGCTGATTGCTGAACCCCATGACGCTGACTGACCTCAGGCTGCAAGGCCCAGATTGAGTTCCCCATCCTTCTGAATGGTTGAACTCCGCAATGTTCTATTACAGGTTTCCCACCCCCTTTCTTTAAAGATGTTCAAAGTTGGGAACTCAGAAAAATACCCTTGATGACCATCTCTGTCTTTGCAGAGTGGGTCCAAAGACTTGCACAGTCAGGAGGTCTGAGAGTGCGGGGGGGGCAGCTTATGGGAGTTCAGGGGCACCCGCACGGCTACCTTCCCGGCGCTTGAGCGATGGCTGCTGGGTCGGGAGCAGGCGTGGTTCTCCTTCCCATGGTGGATCGGGCCGGCCTACTTTCCCGGCGCTTGAGCGATGGCGGCTCGGTTGGGCGCAGGCGTGGTTCTCCTTCCTGTGGTGGATTGGGGCCGGCCTACCTTCCCGGTGCTTGAGCGATGGCTGCTGTGTCGGGTGCAGGCGTGCTGCTTTTAGTATTTTGTTCTTGTGTTGAATTTCTGGAATCTTGACTATTATATGCCTAGGTGTAGGGTTTTTTTTTTTTAAATCATGCCTAGCTGGAGTTCTATATGCCTCACTTATCTTTATGTCAAATTCTTTTTCCCTGTTTGGAAAGTTTTCTACAATTGGCCCTGTGAGAAATTTATTTACATGTTTTGTGCTATCTCCTGCTCCTTTGTTGACTCCAATCAATCTTAAATTATTGTGTTTTGCATAATTTAGTAGTTGCTGGATTCAATCCCAACATCTACTGTGGTGCTCTATTCTGCCTTCAAAATATCTATCCCTGTTTCCTCCAGGAAAAACTCAGCCAATAAGATTCCTCTGCCTTTGTGATGGTGATCAGGAAGGCACCTACCTTCATGGACCTCTTCTTACCATGCCCCAGGTGATGAAGACTGCAGGAAGGAATGCCTCTGGCTTTGGTTATTTAATGAAAAGAAGGGACAACGTAACCAGAAAAGAAGGTCTTGTGTAAAGAAATATCAAGCTGAAAGGGAATGGGATCTACAATCAGATTCATCCCATTGGTTCCCTCTTCTCTCCTGTCTTCTCAGATGCATGTGGCTTCTACCCACAATATTCAGCTCCTACATATGTTGTATTTTGAAGATTTTGAGCTCTCCTTTTGATAAATTGACAGAAGTTGGGATTTTGAAATAGAGTTCTTATTGGAAATTCTCAGAGAAATGGTAAAGAAAGAGGCAGGCTAAAAAAGTAAGCATATTCACCTTCAAGGAGACTCAGATCTGAATGTAAGTAATTTAGGCTGGATAGGCTTACACTCTTTTTCCATGTAACTATTTCTGAGTGTCCTCAAACTTTTTCCAGCTCTCTGATGCCATTCTGCCCTTTTCCATCTCTATTACCTTTTCAGGAGTAGGACTTTTTTTGTTGTTGTTGTTGTTGTTTTCCAGGTGGGAAATGAACACTCAGTAAACAATGAACCTTGGATAGAGAAAGATCTCAAATTTTCAAGGAAAGAGATACATTTATCAAACTGTATTCTACATGATGGTAAGAGGATGCTTTCCAACACTATAGTAATGGGAACTTGGGGTTCCTAGCCAAAGACTAATGAGACATATACTCTCTACCTTCTTTTCAAGATACTTTGAAATCTCCCACTGCTGGAGTTCTTCCTGAGCATGAAATTGACTTCCTAGCACAAGTTTCAAAAGGAAGGAAAAAAATTATTGGATCTGGATAGTCTAAACCAGATCACAAATTACAACTTTGGTTTTAAGATTAAGAAAGTACACTGGAACAGAAACTGAGACATCTGGATTAAAGATCTAGTTTCATATTTTCTAACTTCATATTTCTGTGTTTTACTGTTTTCAAGTTCAAAATGAAAAGGGCTGAGCTAGATGATCTTAAGTACTTTTAGTCAGTACTTCTCAAATTGTATATCAAGCTTTGGTTTTCTTTTATGTACATTAGTATGTAGACTAATAATTTTATACAACAAAATAAAAATAAGTGGCCAGGAAAGCAAGCACATGCCTGGATGTCACTGAAACCTTAAGTTCTACAAAAGTTTTTGAATACTCACAATATCTGTCCTTATCTAATCACAACCTGGCAACTAGTGCTAGTTCCTGAGTCACACTTTGAATAACGTGCTTAAAATTCCAACCTTCTTTATACAAGTTCTGAACCTGAATATATTTGAGATTATCTCATTTTTATGGGTATTAATAAAGTGAGAGAATGGAATTATTTAAAAACAACGTGGCTGGAGGAATCATTGACCTTTGGATTGAGGTTGCATTGAGAAGCCACTGTAATGGTTGTTTTGGGTCCAATAACCCAAAGTTATTTGGGAAACAAAATGAGAATTGCATTCCCTGGTACACAAGGTTTTCCCTTCCATATTTGATATTTATTTTCCCTTTTTATAAAATATGAAAGGAATGAATGAGAGTTATAACTGAGACCAACTAGTTGTTCTCCATATTCAATTTCCCTTTCTTTTTTAGTAATGAGTCTCATCTTTTATTTTGAGAGATAGCAAATATATCCCCAGTCTCCCTTTTAGCTGGTGGTAACTGTGATTAATTTTGGCCTATAAATGTAGAGTGTAAGTATAAGTATTATATGACATTACAGGAGTTTCCCTTAAAGTTTGAAAAAACCCTTCTTAGCTAGCTTCATTCTGCTAATTGGTGATTTGGGTTCCTGCAGCCATTTTGAACCATAAAATCAAGAACCACCTTAACCATTATGGAGTAAAACTACAAAGAAACCTATTTCTCTAATGAGTGTGGGATTGCCATCATTTCTGGATTTAATATCTCTGAGGTCATTTTATGTGAGAAAGAATAGTATTTCTCTCTTTTCTGAGGTACTTTCATAAGGACAAGCCATAAGCTGAAAGCTTTAACATCCATTAGAGCTATAACTTGTGGCCATGATTCTCCAGGGGAAAAAAGGACAAAGGGCATTTTTATCTAGAAGTGATAGCAGCTTTTAGGTTACTTTATGGGTTGGCTCCTAGTAATCCTTTTTTAAAAGCATAGTAAAATATATGGGTATAATTTATTCTTTCTGATTTCCTTATGAAGAATGAATGCAATTTTAGTATGTTTGTTTGGCTGGTACTGGGGATTGAACTCAGGACTTTGCACTTGTGAACAGGTGCAGTGCCACTGAGCTACATCCCCAGCTCAATTTTGGTTCTTAATATTTTTAAGTGATTAACTCACAGGTGAACTTAAAAGCAGCATGACTGGGTCTGTTCAGTTTGAGCTCAATGCCGGCCAGTTCTTTATTTCTGAAGCCAAATTTCCTGACAACAGGGAGTACCAGAAAGAAAAGTATTAACATAATTGTAATAATAATATAGTACTCACTTCGTGTGGCTTTTATTTATCTAATAAAAGAAGAATACATGGTTTGGAGAAAAGTATAGATATAGAGTAAAACTGTCATCCAGCTGAGAAATGGATGATTCATTTGCCTTCTTGAAAGGTAATGAAAGGACAGAAGAGTTAAAAGGACTCTTTTTACTCTTCTTTGTTCTCATAATTTAAGGAAATAAATCATCACAATTATTCAAAGGATTTGATGAAGTTAATGAACAAACTAATACCTGTGTTAGTATTCTTTGTGAGTTGCAGTTTGATGAACATTTACGTATTTTAAGTAAAAGCATACTGAATATTTTTGGAAGATTTTACATATAATTAGTAAAATTCTATCCTTAAATTTATAAGAGAAAAAACAGTGTATGATAATATGTCCTTTATAGCCACAAAATCACTTGTTAGCTAGGAGTAGTGGGGCACATCTGTAATACCAGCTACTCAAGAAGTTGAAGCAAGAGGATCACAAGTTCATTGCCAGTCTGGTCAACTTAATTAGATATTGTATCAAAATAAAAAAAAGAGCTAGGGATGTAACTCAGTGTTCCCTTGGTTCAACCATCTATACCACTAAAAAAAAAAATAGTAATAAAGAAAGAAAGAGGATAGAAACACTTGGTAATGGAAGTATCATTTTCATCATTTCTCAGAGTACAGATTTCTTTTGAAAATTATCTTTTTACTCAGTGTTGAAATACTTCCTTTACCTTGAAATATGGAATTTAGTTTTTAAAATATTTACAAAATAACATACCATCAGATCTGTTTAATTCAACATTTTATCTTGTGGCTGAAAAAGATCCTGCACAAAAATGAGAAATATGACAGTTTTTATCTATTTCATTGTTTCCTTCTGTTTGCATTATTAGTATTTAGATGTAGGGATTTGGTTTTTGGTAGAAATCTTTTGGATATCATTTGTCCATTTTGTGAGATTAATCTAGGTTAAACCAAAGATGATCTGCTGTAAAAATACATAGCAGAGTACACACAAATCATAATATCCTGCAGTCCTCTGAAAGCAAGTCAACCATGGAGAAGTGTTTACCATCCTTTTACTTTCAATCTATGAATTTCTTTGTGAATTAAGTGAGTTTCTTGTATACAGTATATTGTTGGACTTTGCTTCTTAATCCATTTTGCCAGTCTATTTCTTTTGATTGGTGAATTGAGGCCATTAACATTGATGGTTATAACTGATATTGATTTATCATTGTTATGTTATTGACTTATTTTTTATTTTTCCCCCACTCTCCCTTTAATTTCTTGCCTTGCCTAATGGATTTGCTCTGTTGGGCCTCATGGAGTTGTGACCTTCATTTTGTTGTTCCAGGATACTTTTAGAAGCATTTGGAGTGCTGGTTTGGTATTCATGTTATTTCTCAGGTGTTCTTTGTTGTAGAAATATTTTATTTTTCCATCAATTTAGAAAGATAGTTTTACAGAATACATCAGTCTAGGTTGGAGGCTGTTTTCTTTTAGGACTTGAAATACCTCACTCCAGGCTTTGCTTTGACTTGAGGGTTTGTCTTGAAAAGTTTTCTGATTCTGATGTCTTTTTCCCCCCTCTACCTGCCTGTAGTATTTTGTTCTTCTGTTGGGTTACTGGGATCTTGATTATTATATGTCTAGGTTTAGATTTTTTTATCACTGTTAGTTGGAGTCCTACATGCCTCACTTATCTGTATGTCAAATTCTTTCCCTCTGGGAAGTTTTCTGTCATTAATTCTGTGAACAGTTTTTTATGTCATTTGTACTTTCTCCTGCTTTTTCATGTATTCATATCAGTCTTATATTATTCTTCTTTGCATCATCTAGGAGCTATTGGATGAATTTCTTATGGTCCCTTACTATTTTTAAGAGATCCCTCTTTTCTTGGTTGCTGACGGCAATCCTATCTTGTATATCTGATATTCTAAATTCACATTCAACCATTGTGCTGTAAATGTTTTCAAAAGAGTTTTTAGTCTCTTGGACATCTGTTTGGATCTGTTTTGTGGATTTCATTTCTTTTCTATGTTGTTTTCACGTTTCCATTTCTTTCCTATGCTGGGCATTCATGGCTGTCATCATGGTCCTGAGCTCATCTATTTTTTTTTTTATGTTTCTGCTTTAGAGTCTCTAAATCATGTCTTTCATCTTACTCACCATCTCTGTTTTTATCTCAGAAATTATTCCTGTTTTTAATTTTTCTAGTGCCTCATTCATCTGTTCTGTTACTTCCTGCACTATCACTTCAGGGTGTCTGGGTGGTTGACTATCAGACTTTTCCACCTCATTTTCCCCAGAATTTGCCTTTGGTGAACCTGGAAGTCTGTGTTTGTGCCTTCTTAAGTGTCTTCTCATTTCTATTTTTGTTGTTGGGACTGTTCTTGGCTAAATTCCTGGGTTAATACTTCAATCTTCCAGATATAGCAGGTCTTTGGGTTTTGGGTTTCTAATTACTCTGAGACACTCTCATTTTCATAATACCAGGAAGGACAACTGATTGTATCACTTGGGCTAAGGTGATGTGATTGATTGAATCAGCAACAACAGTATAAATTACAGTTCAGAAAATGACAATTTGTGGAAGTTATTAATCTATCACTTTTAACAATGTGAATAAAATCAAAATGGAGTACCAGCCCAAAATATGTTTATAGTGAATAGCTCTTCAATATAGCAACTTTACCCTCTGGGATTGGGACTTGGAAATGTTGGGGAGGGAGGGATAGATAGGTAGGATAGGGAAATGTGACTAGTAAGGCCAGAGGGCACAGGAAGATCATGCAAACTCTCATAAGCTATTGAAGAGAGCAGAAGATAGAAAAAAACAACTTATACAAGAACAGAGCAACTTAACAGAAATAGGGAGGCTAGAAATTG